GACGTCTCTATCGGGAACAACCTATCTTCCATTATCAAGGGCTACCAGAAAAGGATCAAGCACTATAAGGACCTAATGAAGAACCTCCCTGAGGACTACCCATAAGTCCTATTCATCAGCACCCTTAGTTAATCTATCTTTCCTTTTTTCATATGTAAATCTTCTTTTGCTTTTAAGTCCATGCTATGGGCTATCTTTTGGATGTATGCAATCTAACACTAGAATTGTCTTTTGGATGCTGAAATGAATCTGAATGAATGGTAATATTAATTTATGTATTTGTTTTTTCTGTTTAAATATTTTAATTTTAGATATTTGATTTGATCAGGTTGTTATTTTTATCATTATATCCCTAATAAGTTTTTTAAGTTTATTTTAACTTCTGAATATGTTATGGACTAGATAAGATAAACACATAAAACAGATACAAGGATGCCTCAGGGGTGGAATGTATTGATTGATTGAAATAACAGAGCAGTTACAAGATAAGAAGGGATAAACTGTAGCTATTCGAGATGCTACCCTCTCCTGAAAGACTAACTTCTTTTTGCCTGCCTCCCCACTCCCAATCTCTCTACTATTAATACTAACACCACGCGTGAAATACTAATTCCCAAAATGCCCCTCAACTGTTCTATTGGCTGACATCAGATAGTGGAGGATACATTTCCACTGTGGCTTCCTTCCGTGATCTTGTGGTCCTTCTCCCTTTTTTCCTGTGATAGGTGAACAATATGGGTGGGTGCATGACATTACCCTACCCCAAAAGACTGATCTTGTCCTCAAGATCAAAATCAGGAAATAACCCTTGAATGTTCTCCCAATCCTCCCATGTTGCCTCAAATTCTTGGCTGTCCTTCCATTTGATAAGAACTTCCAATTTTTTTCCTTGTCCTTTGTCATCTTGTCGCACTCCTAGCACTGTTTCCGGCCTGAGTTTGAGCTCCATAGTCTCAGTTAACTGAGGGGGAAGTTCTGGTTGTGCTGTTTGGTTGCCTATCACCTTCTTTAGTTGGGACACATGGAAGACCGGATGGATTTTCGCTCCGTCTGGAAGTGCTAGCCTGTAGGCGACCTCACCAATTTTCTGTAATACCATGAAGGGCCCATAGTAGCGGGCAGCTAACTTTTGAAAAGGCCTTGCTGTCATTGATTTTTGTCGATATGGTTGGAGTTTGAGATAAGCCTTTTCCCCCACCGTAAAGTTCAGCTCCTTTTGCTTTCGATCCGCTTGGATTTTCATCTTCTGTTGCGAATAAAGCAAATGGCCCTTTAGATCATCCAATACGCTGTCCCTTTCCACTAGTTGCTCCTCAAGCGTGGAGACGGCTGTGCTGCCCCGGGGTATGCTGTTGACCTTTGGGGGATCTCTTCCATATACAGCCTTGAAAGGAGATACACGAGTGGCAGTGTGGTAAGAGGTATTGTAGCAGAATTCAGCCCAGGCAAGCCATTTGGCCCACTCTTTCGGTTTCCCTTGAACGAAACAACGTAGGAACAGTTCTAGGGACTTGTTAACAATCTCCGTTTGCCCATCCGTTTGTGGGTGGTAGGCAATGCTACGGGGTAGGTTCGTTCCCTGCACCCGAAACAACTCTTTCCAGAATGTACTCATAAAAACCTTGTCCCTGTCGGAGACCACCGATAGCGGAAACCCGTGGAGTCGGACTACTTCCTTGATAAATACCGTAGAAACCGTTAGAGCTGTGAAAGGATGCCTAAGTGTCATGAAATGTGCGTATTTTGAGAGTCGGTCCACCACTACCAGTATTGTATCAGCCCCTTGAGATTTTGGAAGTCCTTCAATGAAGTCCATCGATACGTCATCCCAAATTAGGGCGGGAATAGGCAGGGGTTGCAAAAGGCCGGCAGGGTGAGTGGTGAGTGACTTCTGTCGTTGGCACACGTCGCATTCCCTTACATACTTCTGAATTGTTTTTCTCATTCCCACCCAGTACCATTCCTCTGCCATTCTCTGGTACGTTCTGAACTCTCCTGCATGCCCGCCAATGGCTGAATCGTGAAGTTCTACTAGCAGTTTCGGAATGAACAGCGAAGACTTGGGAATCACCAACCTTCCCTTGTATCGCACCTGGCCCCCCTCCACTGAAAATCCCACATGCCTCTTTCCCAGTTGAGTGATATCCTCCTTAAGTTGTTGGATGAAGGAGTCCGCTGCTATCTCTTTTTCTAACTCTTCTAAGGATATTGACCACGATGAGAGCATAGTGGCTAGTTCCGTGACTATGTGTAACTGTGAAAATTCTCTAGAAAGGGCATCGGCCACCCGATTAGTCACCCCCGGTTTGTATTGGATTTCGAAGTCATAGCCCAGAATCTTGTAAAGCCACTTTTGATATTCTGGTCCTACTTCTCTTTGATCCATAAGGAATTTGAGGCTTTTTTTGATCGGTTCTAATGATGAAGTGGGTTCCCAACAGGTAGTGTCGCCATTTCTTAACTGCTAAAACTATCGCCATTAACTCCTTCTCATATATGGGCTTGGACCTGCTGCGCGTTCCCAACACGTGGCTATAGAAGGCAATAGGATGCCCGTCTTGTGTCAACACAGCCCCCAATCCTGTCCCAGATGCGTCAGCCTCTACTACAAAAGGTCTTTGGAAGTTTGGCATTGCTAGAACCGGAGCTTGTTGGAGGGCTGACTTCAGAGTTTGAAAAGCTTCCTCTGCCTCTTCCGACCACCTGAAACAATCTTTTTTAAGTTGATCTGTGAGGGGGGAAGCAATCTTAGCATATCCGGAAACAAATTTCCGGTAGTATCCAGCCAAGCCCAGGAATCCCCGAAGTTCTTTCACTGTGGTTGGGGTTGGCCATTTACTGATGGCCTGAACCTTGTCCTCGTCCATGGCTACTCCCTTTTCAGATATGATGTGCCCCAAGTAAGCCACCTGTGTTCTTCCGATATCACACTTGCCAGGGTTTGCAAATAATTGATGAGTGTGTAGAAGGTTCAACACCTTTGCCAAATGTTGAAGGTGTTCTGTTTCATTTCGGCTGTAAACTAAGATATCGTCGAAGAATACCAACACAAACTTCCTAAGGAAGGGGCGAAATACCTCATTCATCAAGGACTGGAAGGTAGCGGGAGCGTTAGTAAGGCCGAAAGGCATCACTAGAAATTCGTAGTGACCCTCGTGAGTTCTAAAGGCCGTCTTGGGTATGTCTTCCTCCCGCATTCGGATTTGATGGTACCCGGATTTAAGATCCAACTTGGAAAACACAGTGGATCCGTGGAGTTCATCTAATAGTTCATCGATTACGGGAATTGGGAATTTGTCCTTGACGGTGACCTTATTGAGGTTGCGGTAATCCACGCAAAACCTCCATGAACCATCTTTCTTTTTGACCAGTAGCACGGGGCTGGAAAAAGGGCTTTGGGATAATTGGATGATCCCAGCTTTCAACATTTCACCCAAAAGTTTCTCGATTTCGGCCTTCTAAGAATGGGAGTACCAGTAGGGGCGGACCGTCACAGGTTCAGTTCCTTCTTTAAGACAGATGGTATGTTGTTGCTCTCGTTCGGGGGGCAAGCCGTCATGCCATTCAAACACTCTAGAATACTTCTTTAGCACCCCATGGAGATATCCTGGGGCTTGGGGTAAGGGTTGGAACCCCAAGGTTTTTTCCACTTGATTAAGCTGGATCAGGTAACCCCCTCCGTTGGTACATAGAGTCCTCATCATGGGTTTTAGAGAGACTTGAGCTCGTTCTAGGGTCGGGTCCCCTCTAAGGGTTACCGTATGCCCATTAACTTGAAACTTCACAACTTGTGTTTTCCAATTGGTAGTGACTGGACCTAGCTTCTCAAGCCATTGAACTCCAAGTATGACATCCGCACTCCCAAGGGTTAAGGGCAGGAACTCCTCAACAACAGTTACCCCTTGTAGTTGCAGAACTACTCTTTGACATTTCCCTGTTCCCTTAGCTGATTCCCCTGTTCCCAGAAATACCCCAAAGCCTGGAGTTGGTGTGACCGGCAGTCCCAATTGGGATACCAACTGTAGGGATACAAAGTTGTGTGTGGCTCCCGGATCTATCATGACTATCACTTCCTGCCCTCCCATTTCTCCCTTCAACTTAAGCGTTTTCGGATTGGACTTACCTATAACAGAATTAAGGCATATGCCAGAGAGAGTAGCCATCTCTAGCGCCTCCGGTGGTGCCTCGTGCAAGGGATCCTCTTCTTGTTCCCCTTCACTGTCTTCTTCTTCTCGGGTTATGAGAACACTCAGCTCCCTTCGACGACAACGATGCCCTACATTCCACTTTTCATCACACTTAAAACATAAGCCTTTCTCTCGTTTGTGTTGCCATTCCTTGTCTGATAGTCTTCTCACTTCCCCACCATTTTTCTTGTGTGCAGTGTTTCCCATAGTGGAGCTAGGGTTTTGTATTTGTGGCAGTCGTGTGGTATTGAGAGGTGTAATCAATGGTGTGCCAGAGAGGGTTCCCGAGGTGTTAGTCCGACGGATAACGGTGGTGCTTGGATTTCTGTGATTCGACTGGGAATGGAGCTTTTGTTCTACCTTAATCGCTAAAGTCATAGCGTGATCCACCGAAATTGGGCTTAGTATTTGAACTTCTGACCTAATCTCATCCTTAAGCCCATTGATGAAATGGCCCAGAGTGATTTCATCGGGTATATTTCTCAACGGGGCAAGTAATTCAATGAAAGACCGCTGGTACTCCAAAATCGACCCGGATTGAGTTAAAGCGAGCCATTGTTGATGTATCGTACCTGCGTTAACCGGTCGGAACTGTCGCAGAAGGAGCGACTTCAATTCCTGCCAGCGCGTCACAGATCGTCGCATATGTTCCCATTGGAACCACAGAAGGGCGTCACCTTCTAGGGCCACCACTTCCGCCTCCATTTTGTCCGCTTCGGATAGATTGTAAAAATTGAAGTAGCGTTCGGCACGCAAGATCCAACCATCAGGGTGCTCCCCGTCAAAGAGTGGCATATCGAGTTTCCTAAATCGTCAGTTGAGTCCTCCCCCTGATTCCCCCGTTCCTCGGCCTCCGCCGCCTCCTCCATCGTGGCTACTTCCGGTCCCGATTCCTCCTGGCGTCACTATCACCGAGGATAAAGGTTCATCCTCCTTGCCCTCCTCTGATGGATTCTTCCCCGTGGCTATAGCCTTCAAAACTTCTTCAAATTTCTGGTCCATCTTCAACTGCATTGATGCAATGGAGTCGTCTTGGAACTGAATCTGGTGCCCTTGCGTCTCCAGCCTATCATTCAATTGCCCTAGCTCTTTCTCCAAGGATTCTACCCGTTTGAGTGGAGCTCCAGTTCCTCCAGCCATGATCGAACTGCTCTGATACCAGGTTTGTTATGGACTAGATAAGATAAACACAGAAAACAGATACAAGGATGCCTCAGGGGTGGAATGTATTGATTGATTGAAATAACAGAGCAGTTACAAGATAAGTAGGGATAAACTGTAGCTATTCGAGATGCTACCCTCTCCTGAAAGACTAACTTCTTTTTGCCTGCCTCCCCACTCCCAATCTCTCTACTATTAATACTAACACCACGCGTGAAATACTAATTCCCAAAATGCCCCTCAACTGTTCTATTGGCTGACATCAGATAGTGGAGGATACATTTCCACTGTGACCTTCCTTCCGTGATCTTGTGGTCCTTCTCCCTTTTTTCCTGTGATAGGTGAACAATATGGGTGGGTGCATGACAGAATAATATCAATGTACTTTTTGACCAATGTTAATATAATAACACCAAAAGATTAGAATCAAAATCCAGATTTAACTTTTGGATGTATGCATTCTACACTGCAACTGTGTTTTTGGATGTACAACTAAAGTATAATGAAACACAATATTAAGTTAATTTTATATGTTGTCTTTTCAAAGAATGGCTTTTTAGTCATTAAATTTGATCAGTTTGATAAATTTACCATTATATCCCTCAAATCACAAAGATCTAACAAAGAACTTTCAAAATTGTGTATCTAACAAAATTTTATAAATTTAAAAGGTTATGGTATAATATAAATGTCTCTTTGCAAGATATAGCAGCTAGATTCTCTTTTTCCAAACCAAAGTGACTTATTTTATTATTTATATTTCTTAAAATTGACAAGTTATTTTTTAATACTTTAACTTGGATTTTCGTTTCTTAAAGGAAAATATAACATTAGTAAAAAAAAAAGTGAATAATGTATATAACGATAATAATAAAGGAATAGATATCAAATGATCAACTTACCATAAACAGGGAAAATATGTTTCTAATTAAAAATGATAATGATGGAAATAATTTAAATATAACCAAATTACCTGGATTTGGTGTATCGAATTAATTATAAATAACATTTTCCATCTAATAATCTGTAATCAACTTAAATACATAACCTACTAACTAATAATCCATATTTTTTGAACCTTTTAGATTATTTGCATATGATTTACAATAGAAATACTACATATATATTTGCATAAGATAACCCACCTTTCTCACTTAAGTGATTCATATTCTTCATGTTCTTCATGTTTCTATTCCATATGTTAATCACTAGATTAGATTTTTGTTTGAGTTATTGTTTTCATTATTAGAGTTTTATACGTATTTACAACATAATGTCTCATAAAATTTTGATTTGGATTTAGTAAAAGACAAGTAACAGATGAATAATTAATGTAAAATTACTTTTTCTATAATACCATCCTATTTTTTGTGATAATGTAATAGTATTCAGTTGATTACCATTGTAAAATTGATGTTTTTTTTGTTTAGAACTAAGAAAGAATCAGAAAACCTCAAAGTATTCTTTCAGGTTTTTACCATTTTACCCTCCATTTAGCTAAAACCAAACAACCCTTTCATAATACAAGTTCATGGTTTTGGTTATGCTGCAAAACAGTAATGGAGTAACAAGGGTAAAATGGTAAAATACATAACAATGTAGTATAAGTATCAATCTTATGCTTTATAACGTAAAGTACAAATGTAATTCAAATTGACTGATAAAGAAGTAATTTTTATACATTATCAACTGAGAAAATATTAAAACAATTAAAAATATGGTGGAGATAATGGTAAACGTAGTTGATCTTACGTCTTACAGAATCAAACATATATGACTTCGAACAATAGAAGAACCAAATCAAAAGCATCCCATGCACACCATTGTCGGACATAACAAATGGTAAACTTTTAATTTAAATATTATCATTATATAATTCTATCATATTAATTTTATTTATATATTCCTACAACTTTATCATAATCAATTTTTTTAAGAAAACAACTTCTACATATCATATAACTATCCAGTTACTCGAAAATGTACAGAATTACCTTCAAAGTCATCACCTCATAAAATCATATACTCGAATATGCATCCGACAACAATTTCATCAGGGTCATCGCTTTCACAAATAACAAATCAGGGTAAATTTTTAATAATTAATTTTTATGTTATTTTCACCCTGCCATTGAAAATCATATAACGACTATATATTTTTTTAATTGGTATGGCAACTAGCTAACAGTTGTCCGAACAAATCAAAATGCCACAAGTTTCAAGGTTGTTAGGAGGCATCACACTCTGGTAATAGTTTTCCTATTCATAAATCATATACTCGAATTTGCATCCTACAACAATTTCATCAAGGTCGTCGCTTTCACAAATAACAAATCAGGGTAAATTTTTAATAATTAATTTTTATGTTATTTTCACCCTGCCATTGAAAATCATATAACGACTATATTTTTTTTAATTGGTATGGCAACTAGCTAACAGTTGTCCGAACAAATCAAAATGCCACAAGTTTCAAGGTTGTTAGGACGCATCACACTCTGGTAATAGTTTTCCTATTCGTATATTACTATTTATTATATATTTTTCTTTAATTGGTGATAAATTTACTTTCAATATATGTACTTTAATATTACATATTGATATTTTGTTTGTATTTTACAATACAATTTTTTTCCAAAAAATAATTTCTTTATATCGTCTAATTTCGAGTTAATCGAAAAGTTACCGAATCACTTTCAACCTCATCCTCTCATAACCTTATACACCCGAATGTGCATCATTCATTTATTTTATCAAGGTCGTCAGTCTCACAAATCACCAGCCAGGGTAAGTATTTCATGATTACTTTTATAATATGTTAACTCTACAATGTAAATAATATAAAAACATTTATAATATCAATAGTTATTAACTTTTAAAACAACCAATGAACAGTTATAAACGGTTGAAGTACGTTGTCAACTTCAAATGACCAAAAACTTCAAAATTCATCAACTTTAAATGCACGCAAGACCCATCTGAACTATGGTCATAGATTTCATATTCTTTCATTATTAATTAATAATATTATTTTTTATTTGATCAAACATTTATGTTCATTATATTTCACTTTATACATTTTCTCAGCTTTCAAAATTACTCCACAAACATTTCCAAAAAATTCATTGAGCTTATCTAATGATTCAGTTGTTTCCAACAAATGTGCTACAAGTCAAGAAAATAACACAATCAAACCTACAATAGGAAAACGCAAAACGTTCAATACAAAAGATATTCCTTTTTTTTTTATTTGAATGAAGATTATATAGAGCATTCAAGCAGAACTATTAATCGTTCTAAAAAAAACAAACAGTTGTGCCATATACTTCAATTGCTCAAAATGATGTAGCGGGTGACAATCAAACTAAATATTTTGGAATAACCAAATGTATTGTTTCTTTATAATTAAAATTTATGATTTTGGTTATCCGATTAAAAAAATACTTTAAAATTTTCTTTACCCTTTTTTATTTTAGGCATATAGTATATCTAAATTGATGAGCCTTTTTGTTTCTTTAGAGATTATTTGAATTCTAGTGACGTAGTATATGTTTGTTCGGTATGTAAAGATAAGGTTTGGATGCGAGAAGCAATTCGAGGAAATAAAGATTTAAAGAAAACCTATTATTCCATTTTTTGTTAGAATGGAAAAATATAATTACCCACTCTTATTCACCCACCTCAGAAATTTGATTGATTTATATAGAGGTGTTACTGAAAAAATCAAAACTTTATACAAAGTATTTGTCAATACAATATGATGTTTGCATTTACATCTATAGATGATAAGAATGATCATGCCATTAACTCTGGAGGCGGTCCTTATGCTTATCGAATGCATGGACACAATTATCATATTGCAGGCAGCTTACTATCAGAGGATGGCGAATTACCAAAATTTTATCAGTTGTACATATATAATACAAATCATGAATTTGACAACAAATTTAATGCATACGAGTATGTAAATAGCTTCTATCGTATAAGAGCATTTTACACGAACACACACACACACACGCACACACACACCCACACACACACACATATATATATATATATATATATATATATATATATATATATATATTTCTTTTTTGTATTATATTGCATAATAATTATATCCATGATATTTTATCCTTCTTAATGTAGTTCAAAAAAGATTAAGTCAACATCTTCTAATTCAATGGCAAATCCTTTTTCACTCGAGTTCTTGGTTGTTCATGAGTTGATGGGTTTATTGGATTTTATCAATCCATTAGTTAAGCAGTTTAGAATGACACGTGATCGATTTGGATCAAATCCAACAGAGCGTATTCGGCTTAAATCGATTGGAGCAAGAGAAAAGGATGGTAGGCAGTATAATCTTCCTACCACAAGTGAGGTGGTTGCACTCATTATAGGTGACATTGATGGTTCTGATTAACGAGATATTGTTTTGTAAACAGAGAGTCGGTATCTTCAAAGTATTAATGAGTTTCATCCTCAATATCTTTCACTTCAATATCCTTTATTGTTCTCTTATGCCAATGATGGATTTTGACTGGATATATCACATCACGGTGTAAAAGAATCAAACTCCAAAGGACTAATAAAGCTGACCATGTAAGAGTTTTTTGCTTACCGTATACAATAGAGAGATAATGAAATATCTTTGATATTACGTTCAGAAAACTCTTCCAACAATTTCTGGTTGATTCCTATACAATGATTGAAAATACCCGCCTTAATTATATACAGTTTAACCAACCAACATTACGTTTGGCTTCTTATGGCAACTTGGCCGAGGCCGCTCAAGACGGAATTGAAGATTCTTCTATGATGGAAAACCATATCATTATTCCATCTTCTTTTACTAATGAAGTCGTTACATGCAACAAAATTACTTAGATGCAATGACTTTGGTTAAGTGGTGTGGTTATCCGTATCTTTTTTAACCCTTACATGTAATCCTAAATGGCCAGAAGTAATTAGATTTGTTGAATCTGAGAATCTTAAACCAAAAGACAAGTCCGATATTTTGACACGAATATTCAAAATAAAACATGATTCACTAATCAGTCGACTAAAGGAAGTTTTTTTTCTGGTGAAGTCAGTGGATGTATAAATCTAAAATGTCATTATTCATTATCTTTTTTATGATTTTATAATATTATGTGTTAACCAACTAACTTAATTGACTCATACAATTGTATATACCATCGAGTTTCAAAAAAAGGTCTTCCACATTATCACATATGCCTCTTCTTAGAAAAAAAATATAAACTTCCAAATCTCGAAGACAAAGATCGTGTTATATGTGCTGAATTGCCAGACAAGGAGCTTAAACCAAAATTGTATCAAATTGTTTGTGACAACACGATACATGGACCATACGGCAATGAATTTCCATTTATGTCATGTATGAAAAAAAGGATAATGTTCTAAAGGATTTCCGAAAGACTATACGGATTATACATATATTGACGACGATGGTTATCCGTTTTACAGAAGACGCAACAATGGAAACAATGTCGTGAAAAACGGTCTCTTTGGACAACAGGTATAAAAATTCAATTTTTATTCATATGTATATTTAATTATGTATAAATTGTTTCTTTTTTTATGAAATATATGTTATATGTTTTAATACATAATATCGCTAAACAAGTTGCATAAATATAATGCAACATTGAAGTTTATATAAATCAAATTTAAGTCACATAAACTATTCATATATCATTTTTTATATACATTTATATTATATCATTTAAATACTATATATAATATACAAATTATAATTATTATATATGTTTATTTGTTTTTCCTTTGTTTTAAAAATAAAATAATATTATTTTAATGTTATTTATGACATGTTTTAGGACAGTTAACGGGACCGTTTATGAATCTTTCAAAGATATTTGCTACGCTCTTGGTTTATTGGACGATGATAGAGAGTACATATTTTCTATACACAAAACACATCATTGGGCCACTGCTTCATTCTGCAGGTCTCTATTTTTTATGTTGACTACATCAGATGGTCTGACCTCATCATGTTTTTAAAGAGACCTTAGTTGTCTTTTTGATGATGTCGTTCACATTTGTGAACAAGAAATCGGCATAACGGGTACATTTTCAAATAATCTAACTCATTTACACAAAAAAAACGTTCTAAAATTAATTGATACTACAAATAAACAACTTCATAATTTTTTTATTTTCATGCTTAAAGCTAAAACTGAAAGCAATTTTCCACCATACGTTGTCATACATTGAGAAATCTTTATTGAGTTATGTACTGAGTCTTAAGCAAACACCCAATATGCAATTACCTGATCACAAATATGTTCAAGATTTTTGCAATATGTTAATTCAAAATGTGCTTAATTATGATTCTTATAGTCTTGAAGTCGAACATCAACAACTGCATTCTAAATTGAATGTCGAGCCAAAAAAGGTTTATGATAGAATTATCAATGTTGTTAACAAAAAAAAAGGTGGTGTCTCTTTCTTGTATGGTTATGGAGGAATGAGAAAAACATTTGTTTGGAAGACATTGTCTGTTGCTATTAGATCTAAAGGTGAAATTGTTATGAACATTGCTTTAAGCAGAGTTGTAGCACTCTTTCTCTCTGGTGGTAGGACAGCCCATTCAATATTTTTTATACCAATCAACTTGAATGAGGATTCCTTTTGTTCTATTATTCTAGGTAACGATGTAGTTGAAGTGTTGAATAAAGCTAAACTTATCATATGGGATGAAGTCCCGATGATGCAATGTCATTGTTTCGAAGCAGTTGATAGGACACTTAGACACGTTATCCTTTCATCGGACGAGAATAAACCATTTGAAGGAAAGACTATTGTATTTGGAGGTGACTTTTAGCGTATTCTTCTAGTAATACCAAGAGGAAAATGTTCACGTATTGTCTAGGCGTCATTACATTCATCAAGATTATGACGTGAATGTATAGTTTTACGTTTGGATGTAAACATGATGCTTCAGGTCAGCAGTGCTAATAATGATTTTAAAGAGACAAACTCATTTGCTGCATGGATTCTTAAAATTGGTGGAGGTACTGTTAGTGGTCATAATGATGGTGAAGTTGAAGTTGAATTTCTAGAAGATGTTATCGTTCCCTCTACGTGTGACCATGTTCATTCAATTGTATCCACTATTTATTTATCCTTTCAAAACCATCTTGATGATCCATCGTATTTTCAAGATAAAGCTATTTTGGTCCCTACAAATGAAGAAGTCGGTGCTATCAACGACTACATGTTAGAATTGATGAAAAATAAAGGGAAAACGTATATGAGTTCAGATTCTTTATGTGAAATTGAGGTACAAGATTTTTTTTGAGGAATAATGAGTTTAAATGTAAACATGATGCTTCAGGTCAGCAGTGCTAATAATGATTTTAAAGAGACAAACTCATTTGCTGCATGGATTCTTAAAACTGGTAGAGGTACTATTGGTGGTCATAATGATGGTGAAGTTGAAGTTGAATTTCCAGAAGATGTTATTGTTCCCTCTACGTGTGACCATGTTCATTCAATTGTATCCACCATTTATTTATCCTTTCAAAACCATCTTGATGATCCATCGTATTTTCAAGATAAAGCTATTTTGGTCCCTACAAATGAAGAAGTCGGTGGTATCAACGACTACATGTTAGAATTGATGAAAAATAAAGGGAAAACGTATATGAGTTCAGATTCTTTATGTGAAATTGAGGTACAAGATTTTTTTTGAGGAATCAGTATACTCTCCAGATGTGTTGAATGGTTTTAAGGCTTTCGGAATTCCCAAACTTATACTAAAAAAAGATGTTCCGGTCATGTTACTTCGTAAGATCGATCAAACAAAAGGACTATGCAATGGTACTAGATTACAGATCGTAAGGCTTGAAAGACACATCATTGAAGCCCAAATCATATCTAGCAGATTTTTCAATGAGAGTACTTATAGCTGTTTGTTTTGCTATGACCATTAACAAGAGTTAACGATAGTCATTATCAAATGTTGGATTATACTTGCATAGACCTGTTTTCACTCATGGTCAATTATATGTAGCTGTTTCACGTGTCATAAGTAAAAAATGTTTTAAGGCACTCATATATGATGCGGAAGGTCGTTCAACTAATTAAACAAAAAAAATTGTCTACAAAGAGGTCCTTCAATGATTATAGATATTTATCGATTTCAATGTATCTTCTACACATTTCAATAATACTAATAGCCATAAAAAATTTAATTATTATGTACTATCTATACACGTTTGTATGTTTTTTATGTGTTCCCCGTGTTTAACACGGATTATAATCTAGCTTACAGTTAAATGCCAAACTTCTTGACCAAATTAAAAATGGTTGAACTTTTAGGTTTCTAACAAGACATATATAACTAAAAGAAAAAAAATTCTTTAGAAATGCAAGTTTAAAGCTTTTTAATATGCAACAAAAAAAGTAAAAGCTATTTCAAATATGAAATTACATGCATGATAATAAAATCAGTAGGTTGACTTTAATAAACCATGTATCTATTATTCATATATCATTTTATATAATTTTATACATTTTAAAATTCTATATTACTTTTGTTTAGCATTTTTATAAAAAAAAAAATTATAACTTCCAACTCCAAATAAAAGTTACAACTTCCTCTTATCAGTTATAAACTAGGTGTGATAATCGTCTACTACATGAGTTGATTTAAAAAAAAATGAAAAATTAAATTAAAGTATAAACAAAAAATATTTTTTAATGTACAACTTTTAAAATAAGAAAGAAAGAAAACGTATTTATTGCAATTTAATATCATATATATATATATATATATATATATATATATATATATATATATATATATATATATATATATATATATATATATGACATTAAATACTTTACATATAGAACTATATGATTTTAATTTTAAAAATTGAAACAAATAAAAAATTGATAAGTGGATAATATTTATTTCAAAATACCACAAAATACAAGTATCAAAACTCTTGAAAGATTAATATATATAAAAAAAAACTTTAATTTATTAAGGAGGATTAAGAATATATTCTTAATGAAACATATCTATAAATTATATAGTTTCTATATTGTTCAAACTTCAAACAATTGAGATCTAATCAAGCTAACTAACAAGCAACCCTACATATCAGCCACCATGAAGATATTTAAACACATAATGCATATATATATTCAAAATAGAAAAGGAAAAAACCCTAATAATACAAATAACTTGAACATCAACTCTCTGGCATATCTACAAGACTATAACCCCCACATCCCATCCCAAATTCCAAAACTTCCCTTGATCACCCAAAATACAACTTTTTTGCCCCTTTTTTTCCTCATAAATTTCTTTTCTTTTTATCTCTTATTTTTGTAAGTGGATATATGGAATTATCTAGTTGGGTTTCTTGTTTATTTGTAAATAGAATGATTTATAAACAAGATTGGAATGTAAAGTTATTGAGGAAAACAAAAACTTGCGAAACGCCCCTCTCTTTACTTCTCCTTCAATTATTCAATAACCAATTTCCGCCCCCTAACCCATTGCACTTAACCACCAAATTGCAATTATTCAAATACAAAATTTCAATCACATCATCATTATTATTTTATCATATGAATGAAAGAATCTTATTTTTTCATGATCTGCACCTTCTTTCCCTCTAAAACAGAGGAAGATTGTGGTTGAAGCCTACTCTTATGTTTCAAACATTAAGAGTTTAAACCCCTCTTTCCATCCCATTAATTTCACAAAATGCATTTTCCCAATACCAACATTCTATTGTTTTGCCTTTTAACTTCTCTCTTATCTATCATAAGGGCCACTCTTAACCTCACACTTCCTTATCAACACCCTAATCCTGAAGCTGTTGTTCAAGAAGTACAGAGGTAAATAAATAAATAAAAACCTGCAAATCCCTACCGGATTTCATTTTCACCATTTTTAGACAAAAACAAGACTTTATTTCTTCAATTTGAGCTTCGGACAGAAAATTCAGTGGAATTCCCATCTGGGATTTGCTCATTACATCATTTAGTGTTGTGGGTATCTTTCGTTTTCAAGAAACGTTAATGGCAGTCGGGGGAAAGTGGAAATATTATCAATATTTTCATTTGCACTTAAAAAAGCAATCTTTTTTATCTTTACTTTATGAGTTGTTGAATTGGAGCTTGATTTGCACAAATTCCCATATGGATTTTGTTCGTTACGATGTTTAATCTTCTGGGTGTCTTTCCTTTTCAAGAAACGTCAATGGAAGTCTTGAGAAATGCACACCTTCTTCCCTGTTAATCTTACTTTAAGTTTGATTAAATTTTAACGAAAATTTTCAATCTCTTTCTGATCTAAAGTTTGATTCTTTTTTGTTTTCCTCGACATAGGAGAGTAAATGTATCGATATATAGAAGAGAAATGCTGGACATCGGCGGCGGCTGTCTCACCGGAAACCCAATTGACGATTGCTGGAAGTGCGATCCGAACTGGGGAAACGACCGGCAACGCCTAGCCGACTGCGGCATTGGGTTCGGCCGGTTTGCATTAGGCGGAAAAGGCGGCCAGTATTACATCGTCACCGACTCCTCCGACAACGACGTCATCAACCCAACTCCGGGAACCCTCCGATACGGCGTCTTACTATCCGAACCCCTATGGATCATCTTTGCATCCAGCATGCTCATCAAACTCAAACACGAACTCATCTTCAACAGCTACAAAACCATCGACGGCCGCGGCGTCAACGTCGCAATCACCGGCGGCGGTTGTATCACCCTCCAGTACGTCACCAACGTCATCATCCACAATATACGCGTCTTCGACTGTAAACCCTCCGGGAACGCCGACATAAGGTCAAGTCCAACGCATGTCGGCCGGAGAGGATTATCCGACGGCGACGGGATTTCAATTTCCGGTTCAAGAAACATATGGATCGATCACTGTTCTCTTTCTCATTGTACAGACGGCTTGATTGATGCAATTCTTGGGTCCACCGCCATTACTATTTCAAACAGTTATTTCACTCATCATAACGAAGTTATGCTCATGGGTCACGACGATGCATACTTGCCGGATAAAGGGATGCAGGTGAAATAATTTAAGAACTTTTCATGTTTACGTTCATGTAGATTCAATGATCTTAAATCTTGATTAATGTAGTGTGTGTTCTTGGTGTTTGTGTGTGTGTCTTTTTTTCTATTTATAGGTTACATTTGCGTTTAATCATTTTGGGAAAGGGTTGATACAAAGAATGCCAAGATGTCGACATGGATATTTTCATGTGGTAAACAATGATTTCACCGAATGGAAGATGTACGCCATTGGTGGAAGTGCGAATCCTACGATCAATAGTCAGGGTAACCGCTATATTGCGCCACCGGATCCTAACGCAAAAGAGGTAAATTTGCAACTCCATTTTCACCAATCATCATGTGTCAAAAATTATATTACTTGTTTTGTTTTGTGCTGTTTTTCTTTTTAGGTGAATAAAAAGTTACAATTGTTAATGGGTGTTTTTGACTTGGTAAAAAAAACGTTAGATGAATGTTTTTGCCTTTTTGGAGACACTTATTAACTATCTCACGTAGACTTACATTAAATACGTGCTCTTAAGGTCCATGTCAGAATGTTGTTTTCCTATTTCTAGAAACATTAGCCGTAAAACGTGTCATGGTTTCCATTTTTGGCAAGTGTAGACTTGGTGTTGCAAGCAAAAGAAAAGAATCAAGGGTTCAAATTTATGTTAACAAGCAAGGCAAAAGAAGTTATGTATTTAAAGATCAACCAAATCCTATATTTGACTTGTGGTGTACTTCTATTTTGGGGAAGCTTGGTCGTGGGGTAATCAACAAGTCACTAGAACATTAAGTTTGTCAAAAAAATATTATCTAATATGTAAATCCTTTATATTATCCCTATAAAAAAATTACGGTTTAAAAGTTCAATCCATATTAAAACTGAAACTCATTTATTGTAGCTACCAAGACTCATATGATCATCAATTTCTACAAATATACTAGCCAATAACTAAATATGCTACCCAAAAATGCCATTTAAAACAATAATGTTGTATTGAGACGGTAGAAAGTGAAACTTGTCATAGTTCTCATCTTAGATAGTCATGTTATGGTTTAGCTTCAATATTTAGGGTTTTTAAAATTAAATAGTAAATCAATTATTATAAAATGTATGGATTTTGTTGATGTAAACTAACATATCTTTGTTTTTATACAAAATGGATATCATAGGTTACAAAACGAGTGGAAGCAAACGAAAAGAAGTGGGTAGGGTGGAACTGGAGGACAGATGGTGACTTGATGGAAAATGGTGCGTTTTTTGTGCCGTCAGGCGATGCCTTCAGCACTATGTATGCTAAAGCGACTAGTACTGACCCTAAGTCCGCCTTCCTTGTAGACCAACTCACTATGAATGCCGGTGTCTTCGGTGGTATGAGGTATATATCTTTTATGGTTTATGAAACATATATTTTTTTTTTTGACAAATTTACTTAACTTAAAGGGCACTTTGGTCATTTTTCTAGACTAAAATATTGATTTCTAACGGAGTTAGCCGAAAAGACCAATTATGCAATGTTTTAAAACTATAAATACCAACATATTAACTATTTTCAAAGTTATACCGAGTCTAACACTTTTGACAAACCATATTTACCATTTGTGCAACTTTTGTTTTTGATATTTTAAAAACCGTAGGAACTCTATTTTCAGTTACCACCACACAATATTAGTTGCCTTTAAAAACCACAGGAACTCTATTAATTGCCTTTTTCCTCTATTAATTGCCTTTAAAAACCACTGGAACTCTATTTTCAGTTCACATGGTCATTATGGTAATTTCAATTCAAAACGTCCCCTACCACCACCAAGTATCAATTGCCTTTGCCTAGTGGCTAGGAGAATAATTCTATTTTGATTATTATCACCCACTTTTGGCCTATTCGAATATTCTATTTGATTATATGATTATTGTTATATAAAACAAATTTTATTAATATCATTAAGTTGTTATGGCCTTTTTTATTCATATTATTGTATCATATTTTAAAAATAATTAAACAACCCACTATTATAATGTCCAAAATGTCCCTGTTTCCATCTTCGGAAGGTAACATTAAAAGAATGTGTTGGAAGTTAAACAAAAAGGGTATCTACTATCTTGTGTCTTTTTTTCCTTCGAAAAGGGATATATACCCTTTGCTTTACGGGTCCCCAGTGGCATCATCTTAAAGGTTACAATAAAAAAAAGAACATCATATTGTGTTTCACATTGGACACAAGCGATTAAACATTGTAAATAAATATTGATCGAATTTAACAGACATGTTTAACATTATTATTTTATTTAGATTTAGATATCTTAATTTAAGTACAGTAAATTAGTCAATTTTGTGCCATAATATAAGGCTAGCAGAAATATGTATTCATATATTAACCGGCTTTTTAAGATAACACATATTTTCTGCTATTTATTGTGGATTTTCATTTAAAGGTAAATACACTTAAATTTTTATTACAGAATAATGATAGTACTACTGTACTAGTATGAGACCTATATATTACATGAGTTTATTTAAAAATAATTACATATAAAATTTTAACAATTTGAAAAGTTTGAATTTATAAAAAAAATAAGAAAAAATTTGAATTATTAAAATTAATGAGGCTTTAATTTATTGAATACATTACATATATAAACTCTTTGTAATAAATATATTACATTATATATTAAATGTGGAATTTTAATTTAATAAAATGAAAATTACAGTAAATAACAAGTGAAAAATAAAAAATTAAAAAATTCTAGAAAATTTCATGTATCCAAATGAAAGAAAATAGGACATGTGATAATTATTTATTAGGAAGGATATATCAAACACTAAAAAGATAACAATTATGCCAAAATAAGTTATATATTAACCATTTGTACATATATTCTTTGCTACATACCAATATAGCATACCTAAGATATCCCAATAACATAGTTTTCATATGCTATTTTTTATATATGTTCTTTAACGAAAATACCATTTTATTATATTTTTAATAACTCTGTATCATATAGGGATGACGTTGGAACTGTGTCATATGGTGATGGACCCATCACTACCGGCGGTGAAAGCAGGAATAATGGTGAGAACGGCGGCCATGATGACGATGACTACTTTGGGATGATATTTGGTAGCGGCGCGACAACACAATCACCACCACCCACCAATATCTTTTTGATTTCACTAGTTTTTATAGGTTTATTTATCATTACCATGAATGGTGATGGCTTTTTTACATTATTATCATTGGTTTTACTATAGTGAAAATTTGGGGGATTCGGTATAAAAAGGTAAAAAGAAGAAAGGAAAAAAAATTCATAATTTTATCATTATATATGCATATGAAAATAACAAAAGTTAATTAGATAAATGACTACAGCTATTTAGTTATTAATGAATCCAACGTTTACTCTTGTTTCCTTAGGTTTTTTTTTATTCTAGTTGCATATTGGAACTTTGAAAAAACTTTACCTAAAATAAAATTTGGTGACGTCAATTTAGGGTTAATCACAGTTAACTTTGCATATAAAACAGAAATAAGTTTGTATTTTTGTTGGTTCATAATAATTGATAATCTTCGTTAATTGACTCACTCCTCCAAAATCAATAATATCTTTAAACCGACCAAAGGAAAAAGCCAAAAGAGATTATTCAAAGATTAGAGGTTTTTCATTTAAGAAGTAAGAAGAAAATAGGAAAGAGACCCTTGGCTTCTCTCTCTCCGTTTGCAACCAATTAATAGGTCATCGTTGGTCAAATGTGATGATGTTGTGGGTATGGGGCATTTTTGTCAATTGTGATTGATGGATTCATGGATTGTGAGAGACCTCGTATGCATATAGCGTCTTTGGTTGGATTGTGGTTGACTTTGTACATGTTTTTGGTTTGATTGTGACCGACCTTATACGGGTTCAAGGCAAATGTTTTTATTCTTCTTGATTCAAGTGAAACAGTTTTGACGATTATATTCAAGGATTCTCAATCGAATCTAAATAAGGCTCAGACAGATGTTAATGTCAGTGTATCCTGCATTGGTGCGACACAGTTATATGATTGTCTATATATGTCGGAGTCTCCACTCTTTCCTCAGAGCTCTTTTGGAGAGACATCGATTACTATGTATGATACGAAGGATTCGCTCTTTTAGAGAGACACTGATTACTGTGAATGATATTAAAGATTCTTTGTTGTCCAAATAACTAAAACGAAATGTGTAAATCCAAATAACTAATGGCAATGTTTGACGAGCGATATGTTGTTGTCACTAATATTGTCATCCTTGCAGTCGTTATTGTTGTTACTTGTGCCTCTTGACAACTAGGAGCTAAGGCGATGAACTACCGTGAATTGCATACTACAGAACCCCCGGAGTTTGTGGGTGTAAAATACCCGATTGCTAGTATGAGATGGGTCGTAGATGTTGAGGGATGTTTCTACACTGTTCTTCCCTGAATAATCAAAAGGTCAAGTTCACGTTGAACCTTCTTCGCACGGGAAAAAAGGATTGGTGGAGCATGTCCCGCAAGTTGAGAGGGATCGCCTAGCTCAGGAGTATTTGTCGCTCAAGCAGACAACAGAGTTAGTGATCGAAATCACCCAAATGTTCACGGAGAGGGCATTGTTTTGCCTAGAGTACGCAACCACTGAGCAGCTGCAAATGTCTCTGTATGTGAGTATGTTGAAAACCGAGATCAAGGATTTTGTGGCAAACTCCAAGTATCAGACCCTCTTAGAGCTGTAGTCACAGGCTAAGCGAAGGGAGTTAGAACTCGAGACCCAGAAGAGATAAAAGAGACAGACTCAGGTACAATCACAGTCGGCGGCTAAGCGATTCAAGGTTGCTGATTCGCGTTTCGGAGGATAGAAGAGTCCTAGGTGTATAAGTGTTGGAAATCGCACGAAGGAGTTTGTCGTGAGTCTGGATGTTACAAGTGTGGCAAAGAGGGGGATTTCAGTCGAAACTGTAAGTAGGGGATTCTTGTTTGTTTCGGTTACAACAAGATGAGCCATTTCAAGGCTGAATGTCCCCTTTTGAGATCAGCGGGTGCAATGCAAGCTCGAATACTTATGACTTTGAGGATCACCGATGGATGCTAAGGCAGAGCTGAAGTCCTGAAGGCCAAAGGGCGAGCTTTTCAGCTCACAGTTGAGGAGGCCAGAGTAGTGTCAGATGTCATGATTGGTATGTATTCCTTGATTTTATGATGTTGTTTTCTCCTCTTAGTACTTATTTTTTTCATGGGAATATGTACATTCTTAGTCAACTCTTTGCATGTATTAGTATTGTTTGATTTAGGGGCTAGCCCTTCCTTCATATCACTTATATTTAGCAAGAGTTTCAATGTCTTCATAGGAGATTTAGACCACCCTCTTGAGGTCGGCATAATTAACGATCGGAAGGTTAGAGCGTCTAGAGTTTATCGTGATTATACCTTAAAGGTCTATAGCACCAAGTTCCTGATATACCTCGTTCCTATTCCTATGTGTGAAATGAAGTAGTGGTGGGTAGGTATTTGTTGAGCCATTTTGGGGTCGTGATTGATTGTAAGCAAAAGTTAGTATGAGTTCAAACCCCAAGTGGGGGAGAACTGACCATTCGAGGTGAGGGTTCCAGAAGTCGTTCGACTTTCTGTTCCATTGCAAGGACGAAGAGATATTTGCAACATGGTTATTCGGGGTATATTGCTTATGTTGTCGACACTCGGAAGGAAAATAAACATTAAGTTTTCAACATACCTGTGTCTTGTGAGTTTGTAGATGTTTTTCTCAAGGATTTTTCGGGTGTGCCTGCAGAGAGGCAGGTTGAGTTTAGGATCGATTTGATTTTGGGTGCGGCTCTGATAGCAGAAGATGAAGGAGTTGTCCACTCGACTTGAGGAATTGTTAGACTAGGGGTCTATTCGACCAAGCAGTTCACCTTGGGGAGCATCGATTTTGTTCTTTGGAAAGAAGGATTGATTGTATAGAATGTGCATTGACTACATAGAACTTAACAAGCTTACACTAAAGAACCGTTATCCACTACCAAGAATTGGCAACTTATTTGATCATCTTCAGGGTGTATCTTAGTTTCCAAGATTAATATACGTTTAGGGTACCATCATATGCATGTAAGAGAGGAAGATGTATCAAAAATGGCCTCCAAAACTCGATACAACCACTATGAATTTGTAGTGATGCATTTTGGTCTCACTAATGCACCTGCCACATTCATGGATCTAATGAATCGTGTGTGCATACCTATGCTCGATCGGTCATTAATCATGTTCATTGATGATATTTTGGTCTTTTCTAAGATGAGGTAGCAGCACGAGGAACATATGAGGGAGGTACTTGAGGTTCGAAAGAAGGTGAGGCTTTACGCCAAACTCTTCAAGTGGTTGTTCTGGTTACGTGAGGTCCAGATCCTAGGGAATCTCATTAATCAAGATGGTATATTGGTCGAACCAACCAAGATTGAGGAGGTGATGCAATGGAAGGTCCCGACAACTCCCTTTGAGATTCAAAGTTTTCTAGGATTTTCCGGATATTGTAGGATATTTATTTAGGACTTCACCTATATGTTGGATAAGGTGTCTAAGTCCATAACTTATTTGGTATATACTTGACCCGACCCGGGATGGTCCATTTGGGTTGCATCTCATCCAAACTATTTATGGATAATTTTATGAGAGTTATACACATATGTTTATTAATATATTATAAGTTATAATATATTAATATGAGATTATGTTATTTAATTAGTTTTAGTCTTAAATTAATTATGAATTAATTTAGAGATTAAAAGGAAGACTAATTAGATTATGGGCTATTGGTTTTATATAGTGTGGGCTAATGCTCTTTTGTTAATGGGCTAAGCTTATATGGAAGTCCATGGATGATCCATGGAGCTTTTAACCCATGGATCCTTGGAAAGGAAAGGTCATGGGTTATTAGGGTTTCACCCTAACCATGCACACTATATAAGCATGCTTATGGAGCATGAAATGGTGCCTTAGTGAGCCTAAGTGTAACTAGTGAACTAGTGTGTGTGAGCTTGTGTGTGGCCGAAATATACAAGTGTATACACTCTCTCAAAGTTTTCCAAGAGTTTGTGGTGTTTTGTGATTCCATTTGAGGCATTCACACTGTTGGTGCTTGGCCCTCAAACTCCTCAAGAACCAAACTCATCAAAAAGGTATGTAATCTCTTCTAACTCTTTATGTTGAAATGTTCCCCATGCCATGTTAGATAGGTTATAAACCTTGGAAAAAATTATTATTTTGCATGTATTTAGACAAACATAGATCCAAGGTTTATTAGGGTTGCATGCACACTTAGGAAGTGTTAGATTGCTCAAAAACCAACAGTGGTATCAGAGCCTAGGCTTGCTTGTTTGAATACTTGATGCAAATTGCTGAAAATCGAAGATTTTATGTTGTCTACACAGTTGACTCGCTGAGTCCATGAAGGGACTCGACGAGTCCAAGGCAAAACTCATCCAACTCGGCGAGTTGGTTCATGTACTCGACGGGTTGGACCCCCAGACATCATATCTTCGAGTTTTGGTGCTGGAATTGGTCTAGAATCATTACCTTAAACTGTTTTGGACTCATAAAACCTGTTTTTGATGTGGTAATGATGATGGTGGACCAATTTCAAAGTTATAATCAAAATTTCAAGTTTATATGTGTTCATATGATTTTTGAAAATGTTGATGTGGATGTTCATGTTCATATGAGTTTTGTTAGATCATAGGAATTATTTGCAAATTGTTTGTTAGTTAAGTCTTGATCTTAATGTGTTTTAATGGAATTCATAATTTGTCCTCAAGTTATGGAATTCCAAAAGGTTTTTCTTTTAAATGTTTTTTTTTTAAGAAATCATAAGTTACACTTTTGAAGAGTTTTTCTAATAAATGCTTTTATGGACTTCATAACTTGTCCTCAAGTTATGGATTTCCAAGAGACTCTTCATTAAAAGTATTTAAACACTTAATTAAAACTCATAAGTTATGAATATCCAAAAGTTTATGAAGAGTTACAAAACTTGCCCTCAAGTTTTGGAATTTGGAAAAGTTTCACACACTTTAATAAACTTTAATTCCAACACTTAGAATTTTAAAAGTTAAAATTCAACACTTATACTATTTATAACATTAATGGTTAATTATATATATGTATAAGAATAAGTCGTTTTACCATTAGTAGGCCTCATTCACGAAGCCGGTCTATAAGGTGGGTATAAGGTTGTTGCCTATAAAATGACGACTTAATGGGTGTCCACTCTCACCCACCGCTTGCTTGATCGGTGGAGGGTCGTTAGCCGAATGGGTAGGACAATGACTTTAAATTCTCATTAAAAGTATAATGAATATTATAAAGTAACTAAATATTTTTTTTATTTAATTCCCAATCTTAGTTACTTTAGGAAAAATGTGAATTTGGTGCTAGCCCATGGAATTCACACTTTGTACCTTACCAAGTCGTTGGTGGAGCGTGTGTGGGTAACCGGCACACTAACTTGGACTAGTAAGGATCACGAAGGGTGACTTAATGTTTGTCATAGATCAATGGAGC